AGTCCCTGCAGTTTTCTTGGCAGGGTATTTCAGAAGTAGTTTGCCATGGCCTCCTTCTTAGAGCTGAGAGAAAATGACTGGCCCAAGATCACTCAACTGGCTTTGTGTGCCTAAAGTGAGATTAAAACTCATAGTCTCCCGGTTTCTAATCTAACCATCACATCAGACTGGTTCTACATCAGTATGGATGGATGGATGGATGGATGTATACTGTATATATACAGATGTATATGACTCTTTTTATACACACCTATATATATGATTGAATTTGGATAGGGAAATATATAATCCATAATATAGTCCCTAATACTTTCACCAACATCAAAAAGGAGAGTCAGAAAGCTGGGATCCCGGATAAGGCAAGTTTTCCTGCCAATGGAAGAACCATCCTGTCCAACTCGAACACCAAAAACTCTCTGCTCTACAGCTATTCCTCCTGCATCACAATTCAGCCAGAAGTTAATTGGCTCAGCCACCAAAAAAAGGACAACTTTGGAAGCCAGAGACATGGTACCCATGTTACGTGCAGTCTGTGTGGATGTGCTTTTAGAAACCAAGTGATCTGTATTCTTGGCTTCACTAGGACCAAAGTGAGCAACAAAGAAGTAGCATTTGCTAGAGATCTGAGTTCTGTAATCAAGAAACCTCTAAGGCTCTCAGGATCTTTTAGTGTGTGTTTTTTTTTCAGGGTATCTACTGATTTCCATTATTTCTCTTTTGTTTTTAAAAGTAAGATTTTAGGCCTCATGAATTAGAGAGTTCTACAAAGAATAAGTTAAGACATATGAAGGCTGTCTGCAATAGTTTTCTGATTAGAAGAAATTGTGGCATGTATGTTTCCTTTTTTTTTTTTTTTGCTTTTGGCTTTTATATCTTATCTTTCCATATTTAATATACGTATTGGTCCTCCTAGATCTTTTCTTAATTTTCTCGTTCATATATCATGCTCAAGAAATGTGAGAATAAAATATGTAAACATCTGAATAGAATAAAATATATAAACCGTTACTCCCAGAGGATTTTGTGTGCAAATGATTTCTTTTCATGGAGAAAATAACATTTTACTCCCTGTGAATTGCCATACATCACTGCCATGAAACGGTAGTTATTGGACTCTGATTCAGAAATTGGCAATCTTATATACCTTAGATATTGTGGTTGTACAATTTAGGCTGTAAGCATGGAATTTCAGTTTGTTTTACACCAGCCAAAAGATCACAAAAAGAGAAGCACTCAACTCTCCTGGACTCTTAAAATAACATTAACAAAAATAATGATTCGTGTATGTTTCATTTTTCTATGGGAAAAAAAGCAAGGACAATTTTTCCAAATCAATTTAAATCCATCTATAATTTCTTTGGTTTGCTGATAATATAATTCAGTTATTATCATTTTAAATTGCTAACTTATTTCTTCTTTTTAAGTTTGTTCTCGATGCTAAGGAATGGACAATTTACCATAATGTGTTAAATGGGTTGGATTCATCTATTCAAGCAGCAATTGTCTTTTATAAACTACAGGAACACTAAGAAATGTATTTTTTTCTTACAGTTGTAACAGAGATCAACTCCTGCTCCTGTAGCATTAAAATCAACCCTAACATCAGAAATTAAGCAGGTTTTTTGCCTTTGATCTTCATGTCACAAAAAAAAATTACTTGGTTTCTTCCTACTGGGAGACTTTAGAGCTTAAAAAATCACAGTTAAAAATTTGATGATGGCGATGACCAAGAGTAAAAGATGTGTATTCACATCAATTTGATTATGAATAACTTTACTAGCTTTGGAGAGCGGGATAATCTGCTGTATTTCTATATCTCTTCTGCATATGAAACAATAGATAATTTTCCTTGTGTTGTGATGGGAAAAACTCAAGGTTATGTGATGGAATTCTGTTATAGCAGAAAACTAGGACAAATATAAAAGTTATGCATCCTGCAAGTCATGTTGCTGTTAGGCAAACCAACTGAGGTAATTATTACTCAGTTACTGCGGGCGATCAAAGTATTGTTTGTAGCTTTCAACTCATCATTGCTAACAGGGTGCAATTTTGGATTCATCACTCAATATAAGCTGCTCTTCTCCATTAAAAAGAGAAAGACAGCACAAAGGAAAATCCCATGTATGAATATTTATGTGGGGTTTCTTTTTTAAAAGAAATTCCAGAAGTACAAAACTTAAATTGCTATGTTCTTTGAAAGAAAGCTCTTGTTTAATAGCACCGATTTTCCTGAGAAACAGCAATGAATTAAGCTGGTAGCTGTATAAAACTTTTAATAACCACATCTATGTGGTCAGCTAAGACATATTAATGTAGAAATAAATTGTGCACACACAAAAGTGCTTCAAATATTATCTGCTGGAAATCAGCATTGTCCTATGGGTCTGTGGAAATAAGATTCTATTAGGAACACTTGTTTTCAGGTAGACTACCCACCTCTGGATACCCACAGAAAAATATGCTTTGCGCTTTGAAAACAAAAGGTACTGAGTTAACTTCACAGTGGCATTTGGATTTTTTTTTTAATTTGAATTCTAGGAAAAGGAAATACTGTATGCACATAGTTGTTTATAGGAACTTGTGTGTCCAGCGGAAGAAATGAGGAAAACATGAGATGAAGGATATACAGTAATTCCACTGTTCATATGTAGGAGATGAGCAAGCTAAGCTGAGTTGGAAGGCGGGGTTAAATGTGTCAGCAGTTTGGAATCTTTGCGCTTCCACAAGAGACTTAAGTTCAACCTTCTGTGAATTCCATTGACCCTTAGCTAGGACTAGTTTAGCTTTGACCATTAATTGACCAGACTCTTGTGTACAGGTAGTAATAATAAACTCTTCAGTGCTTTATGCTCAGTGAGTGTTCCTGACTCTGCGCCTGACATTGCATCATATTCCCGCACATTTTTTTAAAAAAAGCACTATAGAACATTTAAATCTGCAAAAAGTTTTCTTAAACAGATTATTTTTTTTAAGATGAGGAGCAGAATGGAAGCCATGCCCAGGAAGACAAAATCTATGGGTTGATGACTAAAGACAACATTGTTGTCTGGATGGTCAATCTAATTATCATAAGTGCATAAGAGTCATTCTGTAGCCAAATGAAAAAGTTACCTCATAAGGTTTGGTTTATCATACCCCAAAATTCAGCTCTGAGATGAAAGAGGAAGGCATTTTCAATAATGTTGGGCACTTTATATTTAAGCAGGTAATTGTCATAATTCCTTAGGTAGATGGTAAATGCGTAAGAGGAAGATGGTTAAATAAAGATAGATAGATAGATAGATAGATAGATAGATAGATAGATAGATAGATAGATAAATAAATAAAAATATGAACTAAATAACACCCTCAGATTCATCTTGAAAAATTTGTAAAGCAAAGTATAAAATGAGATTGATTTTTAGGAATGAGTTTTATTTTTATGGCTGAAAAGCTCTGAGTTTTATCGATGGACAGCACTCAAAACAGATAACCTGAAAAGTTGATCTCAGGTCTCACTGATCTGATTGGACTGATTTAAATCAGGAAAGAAAGATTTGAAAGATAAGTACTATCACCTAATGGCACAGAAGTAAATGAAACATAATGAGCATATTCTCTGTCTGTGTGCTGCTGAAATTTATAGAAGCTGTGGGACAGCTGTTGCACAAATCACACTTATGCAACAAGTCTTCTGCTAAACTAGATGGGGGATATCCAGGGACCTGCTTGCTTTCCTTATGGGCTTTTCTCTTGTGTGTCAAAGAAGGCGGGTTGATGTACCTGAGAAATATTTCTTGTACGCCATAAACACTTCAGATCCTAGGTCCTTTATCAAGGGCTCTGAAAACTCTGCCATTTCTTAATCAGGTCTCAGGCACTTTGAGGAACACCTCTATTTGATTTTTCAATCATTTGTGACTAGACAAAAATGGAGGTCAGTTAATGAGATCTACTACACAAAGAAAGCCTCACGCTATTTCAGGTAGCAGTCCGTCCATTCCCACACAGAAGCCTGTAATCTGGTGGCTACTCAGTAAGACGGTATCCTCCCAGTGCTCTCCAGTTATCGGAAAACAAGCTTTTTTCCTCTCCAGGATGTGTTTTCCTATCCTTTGGAAAGACTGATTCCCCACCAGGCTGTCAGTGAATCCTGAGAGTTCCCAAAAGCAGGTGTAAGACGCTTTAGCTGAGGCTGATGTGGGCTAAGTTACCCCACCTTTGCAACAATTTGCTAATTCAAAAGGAGGTTTTGTGGCAGGACTCAAGAGTGTCTTTCTTGTCAAAAGAATCAGCAGCAGAAATGCTAACTGAGTCCCTAACATTATTGTACAGACTAAAGAGACTCAGTTTAACACTCAACTAGCTGACAGCTGCAACAAAGCTCCGAGAGACTCTATGGCTGCTCACTTTGCTGAATGTCCTTCATTCTTAAATCCTAGCCCAGCTCTTACCGATAATACCTCTTGGATTCAAATCCCCTTTGTACAATTGAGGTAATCTGTACTTTTCCCAGCTCAGACACCAGTCCCACGCATACTGTACCTCATATTAAAGCTATGATTTGTGGACTGAGCCTGTAAGTGTCAACGTTCATACATCACATAAACTGAAATTTACAATTTACAGTGACTGGATTCAAGCAACATGCCAAACACATTATGTTACAGTTTTATTACATTTCATGAACCGATCAGTGCACTGATGAAAATCAAGAATTGTTACAGAGTAATGAAATTAAAATGTATGCCCTTTTCATTCAGGTACACAGATGTAGTGAAGGATAGGAAGATGACTGCCAAAAAGGTCTAGAAAATCAAATGTCAAAAAATCTCCAGAAACTATGACAAATACTGCCATTGCCCCCATTGTGCAGCCAGCCAATTAAGCAAATACAAGCACATTTCCCAGCTTCAAGATAAACGAACGATTAGGCACATATAAGCCTGTTATTGAAATGGGAGAGAAGCATTGCCCGGCTAAGGGCAGCTCCACAAAGCAAAAAAGGATGAACTTATTACCTTGACGGATGGAGACGTATCTGCCATTGGAAGCCATGAAAACCACTTGTGGATGACTCTCTTCCAGATCAAAGAGTTCATCTTTCCCTGGCTTGGAGCTCCTGCCAGATTTTAGAGTGCCCGTAGGTCCCACCGGTGCTAGGTATTTCCCATCACAATCCTTGAAGGCCAACTTCCCTGCCTTGAATTCCAGGGTATAACCTGAATGGCGGTCAGGCTCCTGGACCAAGGTGCCATCGTTGCGCAGGTAGCGATTGTCGCAGGTTCGTAGGCAATACTTCTTGTTCTGGAAGGTAAGGGTGATAAGCGAATCCACACCCCAAGGGATGTTGCTGTCTATAGAGATCTCATCCTCTTGGGCACTGAGGTGAGCATACCTTCGCCTGCTAACGCTCAAAAGATTAGCTTGGGGGTGGATGGCCAAGTGTACAATCCAGAGCTCAGTTTCAGTAATGGTTTGGGCGAAACAGGACAACCTGTCTTCAGAACCACCAAAGAAGCGCTTGTACGGTTCTGACTGGAGCGCCCAGCGTCCGTCTGACTGAGTGACAATGATAAAACACCCATCCGTTTCTGGCTTCTCAGCTTCACAGGAGACCTTGCCATCCTTGTCGGCAGACAGGTACCTACCTAGGTGGCTCTTTAAGAAGACCACCGAGCTGTCTCCGTCCTGTTCCAGGCTCCATATTTGCTTCCTTTTCAGACTCGGTGCCGAGGCATTGATTTTATAGCCAAAGTGCTCTGCTGTTAAATAGCGATTATCAGAGTTGATTAAGCCAAACTGGATCTTCAAGGCCTGGTGGATCCCATTGGTTGGCATCTTCAGTCTAGACAGCAAACAATCCTAAAGACTGGGGTGAAAGTCAAGTTTTCCCAGTTATTAATAAGTATGAAAGTTATGCCCAGCTTCACAATTGAGGAATTGGATTAAAACAAATGAGCATTTACATCTCAGTCAAAGCCACGGGTGACCTGCAAATGCCCCAGTGCCAGGTCCGTCTGCAGCAGCTTTTCCTTCATCTAATCTGCAACCCATAAAACCAATCTTGTTCATTACTTTTTCCCCGCCCTCCACACCTCCTCGAGCTGGCAGCATTGCTCTCTCCTGCACTGCTCACATTGACTTCTCCTCTTCCTCCTCCTCTGCACCGCACAGCAGGGATGGGGGGGGGGGAAAGTAGGCACTTAGCACTGCACCAGCCTTGCTTAATTAGCACAGCTAGGATTACAAAGCTTTCAATGAGCTGCCAGCCTCCTGTAACCAATAGTGGAGCTTCTAGATAAAAGCCACAACGAAAAGGGGTTGACAGGTGGCACAATAGCCTTTTGATCAGCTTCAGTGGGATCTTGTATTCTACAATAGTGGCGTTCTGCATTATAGCTCCGTCTCTTTTCCTTTGCTGTCTCAGTATCTCTAAATGTTTCATAGATTCCCTACCTAACTCCTTCACATCTCAGGGCTACAGTACCTTGCAACCAAACCTGCTGCCTTCCTGGCTGATTTTCTCCGCGGAAGATTTATTCCTCTTTTTCTCTGTGTAAAGTTACATGGTTCTCTGATTCCATGTGGTAGGTCACCTTCGAGCTGAATGCCTCTTTGGTTCAGCTTCTAATCTCCTTAACAATTAAAAGGGCCTTTCTATTAGTATAATTCTTTTATCCTCCTTCAGATTCTTTGCCTCCATCTGTTAAGTAGCTCCAAATCCGTAGCTCCTTTAAAAGGAAAGTGGCAGGATCCTTTAAGTTTAAGGAAATGGTCTACCCAGAAGTTGAATCAGGGCAGACTATAAAGCAAATGGAGCCAGCTAGGATGGCAAACTCAAGACCTGAATAAGTAAATCTCAAAGAAATGCTGCTTAATTTAAACACAAAATCTTGGAATCTGCTAAAGCAGAAATTATTCAAAATACAGAATGGAAGCTATACCAAGTACCCTATTTATGGATTTGCTAAGAAGCAATACCAAATCCATGGCATATAACCAACCAACCAATCAATCAATCAATCATTGATCTGCAGTGGATTCCAGATTTCCATCTAGTTATTCCATTAGGCAAAATGTAGCTGCTTCCTTAGGTAACAGATCCCAAAGTATCTGGCATTTCTCCTAAACTTCCAGGCTACCTAATTGCTTTCAGGTGCAGTGAAGGCAGAGGTGGGTTTCAGCAGGTTCTGACCAGTTCTGGAGAACCGGTAGCAGAAATTTTGAGTAGTTTGGAGAACCGCTAGTAAAAACTCTGACTGGCCCTGCCCCATCTGTTCTCTGCCTCCCAAGTCCCAGCTGATCGGGAAGAAATGGAGATTTTGCAGTAACCTTCCTCTGCCACGCCCACCAAGCCACGCTCACCAAGCCATGCCATGCCCTGCCCACCAAGCCACGCCCACAGAACCGGTAGTAAAAAAATTTGAAACCCACCACTGAGTGAAGGACTTTGTGTTCCTGGATAAAAAACAAAAACAAAACCAAAAATGCACCCACCTGCTTCTAGATAGAAGAGGGCAAGGGACACCAAGGACACAGGCAACCTGGAATTAAGGAGAAACTTCCTAACAGTGAGAACAATTAACCAGTGGAACAGCTTGCCTTCAGAAATTGTGGGTGTTTCATCACTGGAGGTTTTTAAGAAGAGACTGGACAGTCACTTGTCTGAAATGACATAGGGTCTCCTGTTTGAGCAGAGGGTTGGACTAGAAGACCTCCAAGGTCCCTTCCAGCACTATTCTGATTGATTGGACCTTCCATTTTGCCCTTTGTCTTGAGTAGCAAAATCTCTTGGGCTAGTTCGGCAGTTGTTTTTCCACCCCCTTTCTTCCCTCTAGGCTCCCTGCATCCATAGAAAAATGTGTTTCTGAGATTAGAGAATATTGTGAAAACTCTAGTAATACGAAGATGAAATGGAGAGTTGGTAGAGGCACGATATAATATTGGAATTGATATTGATGGTGAGACATGAATGGGAAACTTACTCTTGGACAAAGTTTAAGTAGAACAGTTCATAGCTTGGGTGTTGCATGAGTCAGGGAGGAGTCTAGATAGTGGGGAGTAATGCTAGTACAGACAATCCTCAACTCATGATCTTCACTTAGTGACCAATTCAGGTTACAACCGCACTGAAAAAAGTGACTTACAACTGGTCTTCGCACTTACAACTGTCAGAGCCTCCCCATGGTCACATGATCAGAATTTGGGTGCTTGGCAACCATCATGTATTTACGATGGTTGTAGCATCCCGGGGTCATGTGATCACTATTTGCAACCTTTCCAGCAGGCTTCTGAAAAGCAAATTCAATAGCAGAAGTTGGATTCACTTAAAGACTGCTTAATTTCCACTGCTTGTGCAAAAGGAGCACGTGCAGACACACTCACCCGCTGCTGTTGCAAGTGGGAATGCCCATGCACATGAGCTAACCCACTTCCAGGGCCCTGATCCAATAAGGTTGGGGACCCCTGTACTAGAGGATATGCTTCTGAACCTAAGCACAGTGCTGAAAGAAACTGAATAATTACATACCAGAAAGTCCCATTAGAAAGAAAATACAATTTATAATGTACCGTTTCTTTGATGCAGACTATGGTCAGCTGTCAGTGAAGGGGAGACCTGCTTTTTTACTTGAACTTGATCCTTACCTATGCTATCTACCTATTAGAGCCAAGACAAATTTGTATGGAGATGGTTTTCATCATCAAATGGTGTTTAGTATGAATAGTTCTCTGGAAAGTACCGGTACATTATTTTTAAGATAGAAGGCAAAGCAGACACAATGAGAATTCTGCTAGCATCTATATATCTCTGTTTTCACTTTTGTTCATGTGACATAATACTAAGCAATGTGGAAGATAACCTGATGAATCACTGATTCACCCTAGCATTAGCAAGGGTGATAATGGGAACCATTTATGCGTGGCACGCCTATCTACAGTGCTTTATATCTATGAAAAATCGCTTCTTCAACTTTTGAAGTCCAAACAGCTAATTAAACCTTGTGTCAATCGTTAGGTCATCACTTTCTCAGACAACCTTTTCTTCCCCAAAACGTAAGAATCTTTTAAAATTAAAAAATTCTTTTAATTTAATTACAGAATAAATGTTGTCCATCTGAAACATGGGAAGAAGTTTTAAAAAGGAAATCTTGTCCTTTGAGAAAGGAAGCCTCACTGTGAAGCAAGGAACCCCATCTATTTAGAATTAAGGGCCTATGGCCCCTTCCCCCATATTTTGCTGAATTGTTGCTCCCAAAATAATTATATGGCTGGATGGCTTTCAGATGTTGTTCAACATCATCCAAAGGCCCACAAATTCTTCATTCCTGCCGTGTATGGAATTTGGTCTTAGAGAAAATTTGGACTGCATTCTACACTGTGCTGCTTGCCTTTCTTAAAAGAAGCTACATGACCATTTTCATCCCAAATAAAATCTGGGCTGTAAAAAAATCCAGAAGACCCCCCAAGATGGTAGCAAAGAGGTTTTCTGAAGCCTTGAAGGCCACATCTAGCAGCTTTATCCTCCCAGCACAACTAGGTCCCTATCAAACTAGCAGAAGCTGATCGTTCTAAGTGAGCACTAACTGAGCTGACTCAGCCTTACCAATATTTCATTCTTCCTCAAGGGCAAAAGGAGAACACAGTTGAGAGTTACCACACAGCTTCCCTAGTTAGGAAATGCCTACGGGAGTATCTGCGTGTGGTTCAGGATATGCCCTTCCAAACCAGAGAAGGCATAAATATGGTAAATCCTGCCAATTCCCCTAACCTGCATCTTTCTAGATGGGAGCAAAGAAATTGTGTGTGTCAGGTGACTCACTCCATGAATTGCTCCCCACTTCATCCACCACAGAATGCTTTTACTTCTAGAGGAGAATATGGTTAAGATAAATGGGAAGAACAGTTGTTCCAACCATTATTTCACTAAGCCCCATTTCCTGATACCTCCTGAATGTTGTGGATATATACCAGTGGTGGAATTCAATTTTTTTTACTACTGTTTCTGTGGGTGTGGCTTAGTGGGCGTGGCATGGCTTGGTGGGTGTGGCTTGGTGGACGTGGCAGGGGAAGGATACTGTAAAATCTCCATTTCCTCCCCACTCCAGGGAAAGGTTATTGCAAAATCCCCATTTCCTCCCGATCAGCTGGAACTCGGGAGGCAGAGAATAGATGGGGGAGGGGCCAGTCAGAGGTGGTATTTACCGGTTCTCCGAACTACTCAAATTTCCCGCTACTGGTTCTCCAGAAGTGGTCACAACCCAGTGGTGGGTTGCTTCTGGTTCTGTCTGATTCTATAGAACCAGTAGTAAAAGCAGCGGGAAGCTCCGCCCACCCACCTGGACGTCATAATTGACGAGCTGCACATGCCCAGAAGCTGTGCATGCACAGAAGTGCATGCGCTCCCACTGCGAACTGGTAGTAAAGGTAAGTAGAACCCACCCCTGTCAGAACCTGCTGAATACCACCTCTGGTATATACATTTCTTCCATAGATCAGATCCAGTAGTTCCAGATTTCTGGGATATCTATATATAAAGAGGTATTCATTTGCATAAAGCTAACATTTTTCAGCTGATCTGCTACATCATGGGTGTCAAACTCGCAGCATCACATTGCCTTCATGTGATGTTTCATGACATTTTTCCCATTCGCAGAGCTGGGATGGGCGTGACCTGTGCGTGATGCATCCAGCCCACGGGCCGCCAGTTTGACACCCTGTTTACATGTTTTCCAAACAAGTATGCCTTAATTTTCTTCTAATAATCTAACTGTATACTCTTACAATCTGAATGTTCATTTCCTGGTTACAGAATGGAAAAAACAGTTTTTGTTCTTGATGGATTTAAACAATTTATCTTTGCGTATCTAA